GTGAGCAACCACCTGATCAGCGTAGAAGTCACCTCAGACTTCTTCGCCAGAGGGAACACTGTGGTGTAGCGGGAGAAGTCGTCAACGACCACCAGAAAGTAACGCTCACGCTCAGGGCCTAGACGAGGGGCTGGGTCCCAGACGTCCAAGTGAAGCGTCTCAAAAGGCTCGGTGGCCGGACGAAGGGAGGAGGAGTGAGGGGTGGCGCGCAGCCTACCCTCGACGCAGGGACGACACGGCGGCGCAGGCGAAGGCGGCAGCGACGGCAAGACACGTGGGAGGCCTAGGACAAGACGCTGACTAGACATAGCGCGCAGACGTGGAAGGGACGGGTGCCCCATCCGGTGGTGCCACAGAACGGTGGGGTGGGCAAGCGACCGGCAGGAGCACGACGCAGCGACTGGAACAGACGTAGGAACCTGACACGACACAGACACCTGGGGGGACGTAGCAACCTGGTGAGACGCGGGGACCCGAACGGGGGGGGGAACCGGGGGCAGTGGCAGTAGGGGGGGCTGCTGGTGCGGCCGCTGGTGCTGCTGCTGCTGCTGCTGCTGCTGCTGCTGCTGCTGCGGCTGCGGCTGCTGCTGCTGCTGCGGCTGCTGCTACGGCGCACGCGGGCCAGTGTGAAGAGTGTAGAGACCCGAGCCCGGCTCAGCAGTAAAGGTAGCAAGAGGCTGGTAAGAGTCTCCGTCAACACACACCGCAGTCTCTCCAGAAGGCTCAAACCACACACCCACGTGCTGACTCACGAGGGGTCGCACGCCCACCAAGTTCCGGGAGAACGAGGGGACGTGAAACCCAGTGAGAGACCCGGAGGGAGCAGCAGGACACGGTAAAGTGGTAGTGTGACGTGCAGTGACTGGTCCCGTAGTGGGATCAGCCAACGCTACAGAAACAGGCGCAGGAAGTGGTGTAAGTGTCGTGCTGTCCCGAAAGAAGCAGTGGGAGGCTCCAGAGTCCAGTGTGAACGACAGCGAAGCGTCCTCTAAGGTAGTCGCTGGTCTAGAGTCTACACAAGTACCTACACTAGCAACAGGCAACTGAGCAAGACTAGCACCTAAGCTAACAACACCAGAGTAAACAGAGTCAGAAACACTAGAGTCAACAACAGCATACATAGCATGAGGAGCACTAATCAGATCAACTAACTGCTCAGCAGACATGCCCCACAGAGCGGAGCGGTAGCGCTGAACCAGAGGAAGCCAGTCAGGAGCAGGACCGCCAACCCCGTAGGTCAACCGGACCGTGTCAGTGAGCTGAGCAAAGCACTGACCAGGGGGGTGAAAGCGGCCACAAGGGTGGCCCCGACGAGGACCTGTCTGAACCTGGTAGGGGCAGGGAGGGTAAGCAGCACCGCGCTGGGGCTGACGCAGCCCCGACCCCGGAGCCAGCTGCTGACGCTGCTGCTGCTGAGGCTGCTGGGAGGAAAGGGGCTGCTGCTGCTGCTGAAGGTGCTGCTGACGCTGAGCCTGGTACCACGCCGCTGCTCCACCTAGCGGGGCCGGCAGTACAGGAGGCGACTGACGAGCTCGAGGGTCGCCGCCACCAGCAGGTGCAGTGGAGTCACCAGCCGCTGCACGAGGGGTCTCTCCAGACGCTGCACTCCCACCACCGCCAGTCGCAACAGCACCCCCACTACCTCCGCTACCTCCGCCTCCACCTCCACCGGAACCACCTTTCTTGCCCCCCCTGCCGCGGGACCGCGACGCAGTCGTAACAGCAGCCGCAGTCGCGTTAGTAGCGGCAGTGGCAAGAGAGGCAGTGAAGGTGGGTAACTGCGGGACTGTGCACCCGTGGAAGAGTGGGGGGGACACAGTACCAGAGGCGGCAGCTACCGAACGAAGGTTGCTCTCGACGTCCTTGAGTGCAGACTCAAGGACCTCGATAGTCAGCTCACTAGGGTGCTTCAGCAGAAGCGCGTCACGAACGGAGGCAAGGCGGTCAGGGAGGCTAGTGGCGATGAAATAGACAGTAATCGCCATGGGGGGAGGAAGCAGTGCAAGCTGTGCCTCAGTGCAAGCAGCGCGGTAACTAGCGTCGAGCGAGCGGAGGTGAGCGATCAAGTCAGCAGAGCGCTCAAACGAGGCAAGATCAGGAAACAGGAACGGGAGGAAAAGACGGCCGAGAGAGACAGTAGCGGGAGTAGAGTAGCGGGCCTTAATCGCAGTGAGGTACGCAGCAGCGGTGCGAACCTGAGTAAAGTGGACCTCCTCGGACTCAGGGAGGAGGCTGCTGAGTGCGATGCAGGCCGCAGCGTCACGCGACGTCCAAGCCGTCCGGTCAGCGCGCTGACGGGCAAAGCGAGCCGTAGCAGCGTCGTCAGGAGCAGGGCCTAAAGCTGTAGGCTCGGGGGGCTCGGGGAGGTCACCAGTAGCGTGTGACCAGAGGGTCTCGCCCCCCTGGACCTGACTCTCTAACAGACGACGAGCGCGAAGAAGCCAGACGGAAAAGTCAAGGGGTCTACCGTCGGCGTCGAAACGAAGAACTCGCGGAGTCGCCATAGTGAGAACCAACGCGAACGAACAGGCGATTAACAACCGGGGGGGAAGAGGACTCAGTCGCAGCGGAAGAGCGGGCTAGGGCGACGGGCCAAGACGTAGGGTAGGGCAACGGGCCAGGGCCTAGGGTAGGGCGACGGGCCAGAGCCTAGGGAGGGCGACGGGCCAGGGCCTAGGGAGGGCGACGGGCCAGGGCCTAGGGAGGGCGACGGGCCAGGGCCTAGGGAGGGCGACGGGCCAGGGCCTAGGGAGGGCGACGTGCCAGGGCCTAGGGAGGGCGACGCGACGGGGGAAAGGGCGGGAGCGACGCGACGGGGCAGGGCGACGCGACGGGACAGGGCGACGCGACGGGGCAGGGCGGCGCGACGGAGCAGGGCGACGGGACAGGGCAGGGCGACGCGACGGGGTAGGGCGACGCGACGGGACAGGGCGACGGGACAGGGCAGGGCGACGCGACGGGACAGGGCGACGGGACGGGGGGGGGTAACAGGCGGGCGCGACGCGACGGGGGGGAACGGGCGCGACGCGACGGGGGGAACGGGCGCGACGCGACGGGGGGAACGGGCGCGACGCGACGGGGGGAACGGGCGCGACGCGACGGGGGGGAACGGGCGTGACGCGACGGGGGAGATGGCGCTAGGCTCGGTACTAGGCGCGGTAACAACGAAACTGGTACGAACGAGAGGTAGGATCAGGCTCGGGAGGTACGAACGGAGAACGGAGGAACGGGATCCCACAGGATCCTAACCTAGCTGATACCATGTCAAAATGAGGAATGAAATGTTCCATTGATGTTGGTTGGGGTACATATAACAAACCCTAACTTCTGTACCCCCTAAGACAAACCTCACTACAGGCTACAACATTTGACATCACTCTGCCATTGAGGTCAAGGGCCCACCAACACTACCTTACTGCGCGTGAACCTTCCAGAGTAGATCCTGGGCTACGATCAGTTTCTGATCGCAGCACTACTGAGCAAACAACGAGGCCTAGGCATAATATAGCACAGCTAGCTAGGCCGAGGTCGAGGAGTTGCGCGAAGGTTGGGTGCAGGTTTGGGGTTGGGAAACCCGAAGGCGACGCGGGAGACGTTCGGACGGCGAGGTCGTCGGACCTAGCCTTAATTCCGAAAATTGGAATTGTACTCGTAAGAGATGCCTCAGTAAGGAATTAGCGAAATTACTTACACATTGTCTGCTTCGAAGCGCATGGCAAGATCCATGGCAGAGAGCTAAGAAATCTGAGCTAAGCTACCGTCATTGTATCTTGATTGCTTGTCTAAATACGTCAAAATACACATCCATAGTACTGTCATCGCCCGGATATAAGACAGTGTCGAATTGAAGACATGGGGTGTCGTTAAAACGGGTGTTTCTTATAGATGGATCTTCCTGATAATAAGACAACTGTCAGTGTGTTCAAGTTAAGCCAGTATAGGGATTAGGGGCAATCTTATGACTAGAGGGTATCTTCTAAACGGTTTAGTCCATTTATAAGAATTATAAGACACCCTAAACCGTCCCAATTACAAGACACAGCAAGCTTTTTTTCTTATGTATAAGATAAGACATATATGTCCGGACGATGACGGTACCATGTCCAGAGTTAGACAAGAAAAAAATACCGTACAAGGGAAATTCAATTTTACAGTACAACAAAACTGCGATGCAGCGAGAGCTACGCTGGTCTCAAAACCGTGGAGTAATGCCTTGCTTCCAGTGTGCACCTCCTGAATTGCAAAACAGCAGAAGCAGAAAACTTAATCAGAGACATTGCAGGATATTGGCGAAGTGTATCAGAAGGGACATCCACCAAGGCAACACAGCACGAGAGCCACAGGGCCCTCGCACCGCCGACCAGAAAACGCCCATCAGCGATTAACCCCGGCGCCCAGCCGTGAGGCGGGCGGTTGGTGTGCGCCCTGCATGAAACGACCATGCCACCGCCGCTGAGACAGCGCCGGGCACAGCCGGGATTATCAGGGCGGTTTGGGAACGCGAGAGCAAGAGGTGACAGCAGCTAGGAGGGAAAAACAGCTGCAAGAGTGCATGAGGTGACGGCAGCAGGCCAGCGTGGTTGCTCAGACAGCCAAAGGAGTCCTCGTCAACGCCAAGAGGCTCGGAAACTCTAGTCTGAAACCGTTGAGCTTCATCACTGCAACCACCGCTACGCCTTGCATGCCACGCAACCCAGTCAAGGTTTGAAAAGCGCCAATGTTGAAGGTTTCAGCAAAGACAATCTTTGCGGGGGTGAATGTGCCATGGCTTTCCCGGCTCAGAGGAACAGCGTTCTCCCCAAAGCAAGAATTTCCATCGCGGGCCGGCGGCCCATTGTGTGGCGCTTAAGCCATTGTGACCGCTGGGAACAGGCAGTCCCAGGGCATTGGTAACAAGCGCAAGAGCTCCCCACCCCACCCCGTCACTGAGTGGCGCACTCACCAGAAGCGCTTGTTGTGATGCTCGAGGGGGAACGAGCGCAACCAGCACTACAAAGGACTCAAGCTGTGCGGCAGTTAAGAGCCTGTGAATTCAGAGGGGGTAAACGTGGCAAACAAGAGCACACAACAGCAAAATATATTTCTTTGCAAAGCCTTAACATGGTGGGGGAGAGGCAGGGATGAAGGCGAGGGGTGTGAGCGGCCTCCGACGCGGCGGCGCCACGGAGGGTGCAGCCGCGCCAGGCGCCCACAAGCGCTGCGCGGAGAGCCGCGTCTCGCCAACACCGACGGCGGGCGACAACCACGAGTGGGTCGCACTGGCAGAGGCCGACCGCCGGCGGCATCCGCGAGATCAGCCAACAGCGAGAGCGGCAGGTGGGCGCGCTGACGCGACGTGCGGGGCCCCGCCGCTATAATGGCCGCACGCCTTGGCTGTGCGAAGGGCAACTAAGGAGCGCGCGATGCCGCAAGGCCGGCGCGCTCCAACTCAGTCCTTCGACGCACGTGAGTGAGCTGCGCGAGACAATACAACAAAGCGGACTCATGCTAGTAAAAAGCAAATGCAAAAGAGCGAGGTACGGCAACGAGCGTGCAGTGCCTCTCAGATCAGCGGAGTAACCGTCACCGGCCGTGATTGCCCTCGCCCCGTAAGGGGGAGGGCGGGCCTCGGGCCTGTTGAGCTTGAATATTTGGGTCATCACTGAGGTAAACCTAAGCCCGAAACCCTGGGAGCCGGCGCTACTGCATGCAAGCAGCAGCGCAAGGACAGGCAAATGCGAGCAGCAGAGCAAAGACAAGCGGGGCTGCGGCGTTGTGGCGTGGCGAGCCATCAGGAAAAAATTAGAGTTAACTTAGCATTCACAGATGCACGCATCTCATCATGCACCGGTTATGGTTCTCATCAGCTGGCCGCCTCGCAACGCACGCAGAGGCAGCAGGCAACAGCAGATATTAGCTTACAGACACAGTAACACATGAGGGTTGAAGGTACGGCAGAGGCAATGCGAGCATCAAGAGTGATGGAAGGGAAGGGGTCCTCAGAAGAAGGAGAAGTCGTTTTATGTTTGCTTCGTTCACGGTAAATCACATGGGCGCCCCGAAAGGCATCATCGTCACTGGACCCGCGGTGAGAGAGACGGGGCAGGGAGGGCAGGAAACGAGGAACGAGCAGGCGCGTGGAGGAAGAGCTGAGTTGAGGCCAACAGTCTTACCACTGAGGAACGACGCGGACCATGGTGCCTCAACTCGCGACCAACACGCCGCCATGTAGCTTTCGCCCGAGCTTCTGCATTGTCGAGGGAGCGGCAAGAATGGCGGGCGAGAGTCCAGGGAACGGCACGGCAGAGCTTGCCCGCCATCCTGCAGGCAACCACGAGGAGATGGGAAAATACTCAGACACGACAGGGACGAAAAGCACGAAACGAAAGGCGGCGCATGGGCGTGGCAGAGCAATGTAGAACAGCAGCCCGCGCGGCCTCACGGGCACGAGGCAACAGCGAGCGTGGCGTTCAAGGAGCGAAGGCACTGTGCCCCAGATGATAGTTGCGGTGGCAGCCATGACAAGAACGCTGCCCCGCGCTGGACTGGGGACACCCTGCTGCCGCCCTCCCATTCCCCACCTCATCCACCCAGTCAAGAGATAATACAACAATAATCATAATTAAGAGGCAGGTGCAACGTCTGGCAGTGCGGCACAGCTAGCCCAGCAATACTCACAAGACGATGACGCGCAGCAGTCGCAGTCGCCGCGATTGGCGCCGCAAATGGCGAGGCGGACGGGCTCCGATAGTCCCTGTCCGTGGCTTCTGCATGAATGGCCCAGTTCGATGCTCACGTGGAATGCGGAGAGTGCCATCTGGACAGGGGATACCGTCGTTCCCGATCCTGTCACTGGTGCTGATCCAACGGATCCGATGCTTCAAATGAGGGTGGTGGTGTAGGCGATCCTACGGCCGCAGCTGACGATGATCCTACGGCCACAGCTTGCCGGTGCCGTTCCTCGGTCGAAGCCGGGAGCAATCAACGGCTGGTTCTCCTCCTCGCCTGATTCCATCCGTTATGAGTTGCAAATAGCAACGAAACGCCAGAAGATAAATAATAAGCCAAGGGCGGAATGGTGAGAAAAGGGCAGAGAGGGCATCGAGGGCAGCGCGAGAGGACGGAGGGAGGGGTCGAGAGTAGTGGGGAGCTTCGGAAATGAAATAAGTAGGCGGTGGTTTCCACCCTGCAGCCCCCAGAGAAGCAAGCATTCACTGTTCTCAAACAAACAGAACTGTCAACATGTGCAACTATATGGTTCGTTTCATCTCATAATTGCGAATATAACTTATTGATGAAATTAAGATGGTATTGTTTTAAATATCATGGATGAAGATTGAGAGTTTTTTTTCTGTTTTTATTTAGACCCAAAATCATTCTCATTGAAGTAGTGAAGTCACAAAGCCAGTTTTCGCGTTTAAGATGTAAGAACAAGCATAAGTTCTTGCATTGTACAGTTGTTACGAGTGCAATTGAGTGAACGAACGAGAATTGCACTATCGAAGCAAGAGTACAATGAGCGAAGGAATGAGCGAAGAATATATAGCGAAACTACAGTGGTAACGGTAATGGACTGTGGTTGTCGCGCGACGAGCATGGGACGGAGGTTGGGAAAATGTCGAAGCGTAGGCCCGGAGCGCGGGTTACCAGCCGAGCCGTGAGGTCGGGATGCGATGTGCGAAAATGGCGGGATGAGTGTTGATGCGATGGTCGCGAGTGGTAACGGTGCTGACTGAGGTGCTACAGTGATGTACGCGATGAGTAGGGATGCGAAGTAAGGAAAATGAATTTTCCTTACACTACCCCCCCCCCCCCTAAGGAGGTCTCCTTTACGAAAGTGCGTGGACGTCTTTGAAGTTTCGGCTGCGCAGGTACTCGGTGAGGACGGGGTGGTTTTCAATTCTGTCCAGGGGAACCCAGTTGTCCTCGGTAGGTGTTCGGTCTTTCCAGCGGATCAGGAACTCGATCTTTCGAGCTCCGCGGGGGTCGCGAACTCTGTGACTCAGAATCTTATCGGGGGTGATGATAGGTTCGGATGGTGGTCGTGTCATGCTGGGTGGCCGATGTCGTGGGAGTTGGCTGGTGGATGGGACGTACGGGCGAAGCAGACTAACGTGGAACGAGGGGCTGACGTACCAGTCAGCAGGGAGGAGGAGGTGCGCGGTGACGGGCGTGATCATGTGACTGATTCGAAATGGCCCACAGTATCGAGGGCGGAATTTCGGAATGATGGGCAGACGGAGGTTTTGAGTGTCGAGTAAAACGAGGTCGTCGGGCTGATAAGTGACGGGTCTGCGGTGGCGATCGGCGTTGCGTTTAGCGATGATATTTGATTTTTTAATTGCTTCTGCTGCCCGGGTCCGTGCTGCTTGCAGAATCTCGGCGAACTGTTGTGCTCGAGGTACGGGATTGTCGGGATTCGGTGTCATGGGTACTGTTGGGTCCTGTCCGTAGTTCAAGTAAAATGGCGATTGTTGTGTCGTGGCTGAGGGCGCATTGTTGTATGCGAACTCGATGAGAGGTAGCTGCTGCTCCCACGTGTTTGGATCGTCGCACGTGGCTCGAATCAGCTGCTCCATGGTCTGGTTTGTCCGTTCTGTCTGTCCGTCGGTTTCGGGGTGATAGGATGAACTGAACTGTAAGCGCGTGCCGAACTGCTGCCACAGGTTCCGCCAGAAATTACTGGTAAATTTCGTGTCCCTGTCGCTGATGATCGACGCTGGTATCCTGTGCAGTCGAACGACGGTGGTGATGAAGAGTCGAGCGGTTTCTTCGGCTGTGATTGATTTCTTGCATGCTGCGAAATGTGCCATCTTCGTTAGTCGATCGACGACGACCAGGATCGCGTCATTCCCACTCGTCCCAGCGGGTAACCCCGTGACGAAGTCCATCGTCACCTGCTGCCAAAAACGCTCTGGAGGCGAGATGGGTTGTAATTGTCCCGCCGGCCACTTCCTGCTTGACTTCATGAGCTGGCAGGTGGGACACGATGCCACGTCTCGTTGCACGTCGGTCAACATTTCTGGCCAGTAGTAGTACCGCTGCAGCTGCTGCCGTGTTTTTTCTACCCCGAAATGTCCTGAGGTAACGCCGTCGTGTGCCTCCTGTAATAATAGTTCCCGTAGTAATGTGTACCCTGGTACCCAGATGCGGTCGGTTCCCGTTTTTACGTAGTAGACTCCTTTTGCTGCTGCGAATTGCTGTGAGTTTCCTCCTGTGAAGAATGGGTCTGTTTGATATCCGTGGGTAAATAGTCCTGTAAGTAGCGGGCTGGTCTGGGCGAGTAGTATCGCGTGGATCTGGGCAGTGGGGCGGGTCAGTGCGTCGGCGATATTCGAGGCTCCCTTTTTGTATGTGACCGTATAGTGAAAATTTGACTCGAGGAAATCGAGCCACCGAATCTGTCGTGGGTTGAGGTGGGGCTGTGCGCGAAGGTACTATAGAGATCGATGGTCTGTTCGTACTGTCACGTCTGCGCCGGTTGTCAACTTATATTTGTAACTGCCTGTAGCTGTAGTTAGTGTAGTTATTTAAACTTTGTGTGGTGGTGCACCTTATGTGTTTCCTTTGCTATATGTACTTCGAACCCTATAGTGAAGCACACATTCTCCCAACTTTTCTCAACTCACTCGAACTCCTACCTAGGCACAAAACCCGCTCGACACCTAAGTTCGGGCCTAGGCTCCTAAGCCTAGGCCCTTCCTTTCAACTTAACTCTACATTCTCGCCTCTATCTCGACATGTTATCGGAGCCAATTACGACCTGGCCTGTGGGCCCGCCCTACGCTTCCGCTATGATTTTTCGGTCGCGCGCCTAGGGCGCGTGACGATTTTTTTTTTACCTTGTCCCGCCCACGGGTGTGTGACTCCTACGCTGCCCGTCGCGCGCCCCGTGGCACGCGACGGTGCCCTTCAACTGCCCATCGTGCGCCCCGTGGCACACGATGGTGCCCTGCTCGTCGTGCGCCCCTAGGCACACGATCGGGCCCTCTTTCTTCTCCTACCCGTCGTGCGCCCCGTGGCACTGGCACGCGACGGGCCTTTCCGCCCCTGCTCTCCCTGAAGCCGCCCCTGGCCCATCTGCACCGACACCTTTTCTCCGCTCTGCGGCTTTCTTCCCGCCCACCCCCTCCTCCTTTGTCTCCCTGCAGCCGTGGGGAGGAGGGTATGGGGGTGGAGGGTGTTGGAGTGTTGGGTCACCTCTCTCCCTTCCCCTCCTCCTTCTTTCAGTCCCACCGCTGCAGCTGCCGCTGGGGGGGGAGGGTGTGAGGATGTGGGGGAGCAGGGGGAGTGGTACCGGGGTGGCGGGTGTGAGGCAACATGCAGCCGTCCCTCCACCTCTCCTCACTTCCCCCCCTTCTCTGCTGCTCTTGCAGCAGTGTGGGGGAGGGGAAGGGGGAGGGTGAGGAGATGGAGGGGGTGACCACTTAGTGTCAGCCCGCCTGCATTACCTGCTGTTGCTTACTTTTATCATTTTGCATGTGTACACCTGCAGGTTGCATTCTGCACATACTCCTGCTGCAGGCAGTTATGGGGGAGTGTCAACTTATATTTGTAACTGCCTGTAGCTGTAGTTAGTGTAGTTATTTAAACTTTGTGTGGTGGTGCACCTTATGTGTTTCCTTTGCTATATGTACTTCGAACCCTATAGTGAAGCACACATTCTCCCAACTTTTCTCAACTCACTCGAACTCCTACCTAGGCACAAAACCCGCTCGACACCTAAGTTCGGGCCTAGGCTCCTAAGCCTAGGCCCTTCCTTTCAACTTAACTCTACATTCTCGCCTCTATCTCGACACCGGTCAAGTAGCATCGCCACACTTTGAATGCGTGCACGATCGCAAGCATTTCGCGGTCGTGTATCGGGTAATTTCGCTCAGGCGGATGGAGCTTGCGTGATTCGTAGGCGATGGGTTGGAGGCCGTCGCCGAAGTCCTGTAACAGTACAGCTCCGATGGCGATGTCACTCGCGTCTTTAACCACTTCGAAGGGGCGGTGTGGATCAGCGATGCGAAGGACGGTTGGTGAACAAAGAACGTTTTTCAGGGTAGAGAAGGCAGCGTGCTCTTTCTCCCCCCACGTAAAAACGATCCCCTTACGCAGTAAATCAGTCAGCGGGGCTGTTAAACGTGCCATGTCGGGGACGAACCGTCGAACGTAATTAACAAAACCTAAAAAACTCTGCAGTTCCGTGATGTTCGTCGGGGGTCGCCACGCTTTTACCGTATCCAGCTTCTTTGGGTCAATCTCAACCCCAGCCTCCGAAATGACGTGACCCAAAAACTCTAGCCTGTCCTGAAGAAACTCGCACTTGGAGCTCTTGGTGAGTAACCTGTCAGAATGTTATTCTTATGTTCTAGCCTGTAGTGGGGTGCTCTATAGCGAGTACAACCCTTCTAGGGTTTGCTATTTGTATCCCCATTTCTGCTAGTTCAACCCTCTTTCTTCTTCTAACTTTTGACATGCTATCAGAGCAGGTCGATCCCCTTGGATCGATCCTCTGGGTGGGCTCACCACCTCGTTGCTTCCGCTGCAACTGCTACTACTACTCTCTGTGCCGCACGCCCCGTGGCGTGCGGCATTTTTTCTTCCCGCCCTGCGCCCCGAGGTGCACGGCGGTTTTCTGCCCGCCGTGCGCCCCGAGGCGCGCGGCGGTTTTCTGCCCACCGCGCGCTCGGGGCGTGCGGCGGTTTTCTGCCCACCGTGCGCCTCGAGGCGCGCGACGGTTACCTGCTTTGCGCGGCGGTATTCTGCACGCCATGCGCTCGGGACG